TTTCTTTATATGAAAGATACTATCTTTTTTTCGATGAGAAATCACCTCCTTAAATGTTTCACACTTATTCAGTTACACCTTGTATATAAAAGGTTGCTGGAAACTGAAGAAGGAATCTTATTCTTAAATAATTTTCAAGGTACGTTTCTAAATTATTTGTAAATTACGAAGATAATTTTCTTCAAATATATCCATACCATATATCCAGTTGAATAGAACTGGCCGATACTTGATGAAAATCCATATTAAAAAAACTAATGAATACAGTTTATTGTATGATTTTCACTATAAAGGGTTGAGGAAGCTACTGTATAGCGAAACACATGTCGCGGTTTTTGTAAAACCCTTTATAGTGAAAATCATACAATAAACTGTATTCATTAGTTTTTTTTTTTCAACTCAGTTGAGATTGTAAGTACCTACTAACGAAAAATAGAGTTAGTTAGTTTTTCAATCACAAACTAAACTATTATCAATCTTAATTCCAAGATATTTGGCGCAATTCGTTTTTTGTGATTTAGAAATTTTCAATTTTGAGGATTTCAAAATTTGTTACAGACTTTAGACTCAAGATTAACGGAAGATATTTGATTTTTTAAATTCATTGTTATAACAATTAAAAATTGGTTTACTATAGTAAATTGCGATAGAACCAATTTTTAATCATTATAAAATCTTTTTCTACTGTTTCTTTGAACATAATCGAGTTTCATGAAGTACGTGAAAATCGTTGAGTAAAATGGGACTCAAAATGGTGCCTTGTTGTACGCCGTGATGAAATACTCTCCTTCAGCTGATATTATATTTTACTATAACATACCTATATATGCAGCACCACCAAAATTTTGTGCTGATACTGAATAATGTTTCTTGCTGAAAGTGTAAAGCTCTTAATTGAATACATTATTTCTTCTCCAACTTCTCCTGTATCATAATACTGAGAAAAAATTATCTTCCTGCATTACAATTGCAAGTGATCATATCAAGGTGATATTATTGAAGAAGGTTATACTTTCATTTTTTTGTGAATTATTGAGGAATTCCCAATATAATTAGTTTCGAAAAATCCATCCAACTGAGAATTACCAAGTGCTTGAAAATGAATTAGGCATCCAGATAAAGGTATTGGTATTATTAAATCAATTATACCAGCCAGAAAATGTGCGGTTTTTCGTTTATTGTTTGTTGTGACCTCACATAAAATCCACACTTACCATCTAAATGAAATTTTATAATTAAATCGGACCTTGGGAATTCAGAAATCAGAGGTGAAAAACCTGTTGGCCAGGGAAACGGTACATATTACGCCTGATAATATACAGGGTCATTTTGAATATGTAGTGTACAAGTTTGAACAATCAGGTAATTCTTTGAGAAGTTTTGTAAAAAAATATGTAAGTTGGATAGTCGACATTTTTAGTAATTCTGCAATGTTTTGCATATGTTCATTATAACTAGTCTCTTGGCACATTTATTGTTAATAGGAATATTCTCAATAGGTTATGTATGCTGAGATGAGCTGGTTTTTATATTATGTTAAAAATGACAGAAAAATTTTTGTAAATGTTACATTTACAAACTGCCTTTACTGAAGTATTTAATTTATACGTAGGTATGCCATTTATTAAAATAACCTAGAGGAGTTACAATATTTCACGGGAGAACAATAGGTATGCTCGGAAGCAGGGACGGCTTTGGAAGTCTGGAGGCCTTGGTGCAACGAAAGAGTGGAGGGCTCTAATTTGTTTGCTATAAAAAAGAATAGTTGTTCAACACTAGTAACTCTAACATATATATGAGAGAAAGGGAACACGATAGGCCACTTAATTTTTTTTCCGCTAAGAAAATTAAACGTTTTCAAAAAAGGGGAAACGGGCGAAAATCGAAGCGTTCAATTGATAGTGTCGTTTAAAAATTTCCATTCAAGTGATTTTGTCAAATAATTTTTGAAATTTTGAGCTCGAAGAAGCGAGAACTAGTAAGGATGACCTGCAGGGTCAACCGTTTCTCGGATTTTTACTTATTCTATTTCTCTTCAACTCATGGGTACAGAATACGAATTGCACATCAAAATTGCATATTGCGCTTGCTTTACCTATTTTAACACTTCCATAATGGAGTGATGAATACCTACTTTATCCCACTTGGCAGTTCCACACTGTATATGTCCTTTCATAAATGCATGATCACGTTGCAATTACTGATACTTCGTGAGACGTTTATCCTATCGACAATTCAATGCGCAAAAATTCCAATAAAATGGCATTCCTTTCGATCACGGAGCTGATCGAGAATTCACACCGATTATCGGAAAATGTTAACAAAACAGGAACCGGATACAACAAATGCATTTAAAATTAAAATCTACCTGTAGCAAAACTTTTATTTCATTTAGGTATATTAATTTCTTCAGAATAGAGTAGTGGACAATGGAATGAATATAAATCAACAGAATAAATTACATAGTAATGACTCATTCAGACATCATAAAGAAATTGTTTATCATTCGGGCAGGTAGAAAACGCAATTATCGTAAAGTTTACACAGGGTGTTTCTCAAATTGAGTTACTTTGATATTATGAATACTGTAATCATAGTTTGTGGGTTGCATATTACTTTAAAAAATGGAAACGACTCGATATATTACAATTTAATTGTAATCGAATATGGGATTTTAGTAGGATTGTACGTTTATAATAAGCTCATTTACATTTTTTTACAAAAATGAAAACGGCACGTAATTTGTAGAATATTGTTTAATATCAATAATTTTTTATACAGATGAATCTCTTCTTCTAACCCGCATCCGGCGTGAAATACTAGACGACTCTGAAGAATATTACGAAGGTGAAACTTCGGATGATGAAGATGATGGCCCCATCCAGTCCAGGTTCGGCCACCACGGACATGGTCACAAGTCCAAACGCAAAGGCCGCAACCACCCATATTTAGTTTTTCAAGGAGGAGTTGATTACCATTCTCCTTATCCTCTGAATAACGAATACTTGCCGTCCATCGGTTCTGAGTCGTGGGGATACGATCCTGGATTCCACAGAACACCAGGATTCCACGAAACACCTGAGTTTGGTAAGTCTAGTAAGTCCAGAATGTGTCATATAATAGAAGCATTAAATTTTCCGGTGAATGTTATCAAGTTGTCACAAAAGTATGGGATGCGAACTTTTGATGTCAATGCACTGAGTTTTTTGAATATTTATACAAAATTCCGACTAGGAGCGTGACTTTTCAAAGTAATTTTTTTTTTCAAATGAAATGGCATACACATATTTATTTGGACATTTGAATTCAGTTAACAAATTTAATGTACCAAGTTACGCCAAGAATGATGACAAAAAAACGGAACCATTTTCAATGGAAACTCAAGCAAGTCAGAGTATGTTTTCCTGTGGAGATGTTTCAAAAATGAGGTTTCATTAATTGATAAATTCACCAGAATTGTGTTTCAAATAGTGAGAAGTTATTTCTATTTTAACTAATGAACTTCTTATTATATATTCACGTGGATGGCAAGAATATCTATGGACTTTCTTGCAGAATCTTCCAGGAGTGGCTCACTCCAAGGCGTTTATTCACCCTTCAAAGCTTTATACCAAAAGTTGTTGGACTACAGTAGGGATGAACTATGATGTCTAACAGTGTGTGTCGCCTCTGTTTGGAAAATGATAAACAGCAGAGCACATACTTTGTGCGGTGGAGAGTCGAATAGACCCACTTACTTTGGACCTAACATAACCTAGTATATATCTATAACAGTCAAACGTATAGAAGATACTTTTCACGTATGTGTCCTTTTTGACAAAACAAGAAAAAATTGATTTCACATTATTATAAAAATATTCTGGTCAATTTATTATTCGATAATGGAAAAACTACATTTTTCAAATATTCTCATAGGAAAACGGACTCCGATTTTGTGCTGAAAAAAGTGCATTTCTGACAGAACGTATCTCTCTTGGCTACTCATTCATCTGAAATCCCCAATGTAACCTCTATGTGTAGAAGTATTATATTATATTGCCTCCTACGTTACTTGAATTCATTCAAATAATATTGGAAACTGAGGAGTTATCTTGGTCTGCCAGGCTAGTGTCTTCAACACCTGCCTGCTGTTTACTTGTAACGGGAATTCCTAGATGTTCTTAACCCTTGGTGCAGGGATTGCCGCGAGACGCCCAAATTTCTCATAGATTTTTTTTGGCATATCCTGGGCGAAACACAGGACTTCATTAGACCAAAATCTTCATTACTATTGGTTTGGGCTTTGCCAGACTTTTGGCAAAATCCACCAGGATTAGTCCATTCTAAGACATTAATCTTTCGAATGATTACAGAAGGGATGATCTGTGTTGCCTGATATGCTTACTGTGATCTGTCAGTCATCATTGACGGAAGAGAGTGCGTAGTGTCTCTGTTTGGAAGATAACGGTACACTAGATTACATACTCTATTTCTCTCTCGCCATCTAACCAAATAAGTATCTAATCGGCTTTGTTAAAAAGCTGAATTCACTTGTCCAAATTTTAATAGATGTGAACCACAATAACCCTGGCGAATTGAAGGGTCGAATAACCCACTCACTTGAAATGTACCTACTCTTACCTTGTTCACTCCATTGTCGAATCAAACATACTTAATAAATTTGAAACAGATTATTTAACAAATTTCGAACAAAAAAAACAACTGTTTTTGTTTATTCAGAACCATGGAATAGAGGAAATGGCAACAAGTTCGGTCATGTTCACAATCATGACTTCTACATTCCTGGACACCACCACAACCACGACTGCGGACCACTCCACAACGGAGGACATAAACACGACCAAGGTCACCATTATGGATACGATAATCATCCTTTAAAAAAACCAGTACTGGATAAGTTTCCTAGCAACAAGTCACCTACAACTTCAACTACAACTACCCAAAAGACTTCCACCCTGCCAAAAATTGACATTAGGGCAGGGGAGGTTACACAGTGATTGACTGATCAGTTTCTTAAATTATATTTGATTTATATTATTTTCAATTCAAGAAAACAATATAGATATCTAAGCCAATAAGTTATAAATGCTGTGACCAAAATGAGTAATAAAAATGACTTCGGCTATCAGCGATTGTTTTTATTTTCCACTGTGACTTGTTTTCTCCCTATGAAGTCGAGACCATTGTGATCTATAAGCATTTCAACAATTTCAACAGAATGTATACGGGTCAACAGAACGTGATATCCAGAACTCAAGGCCAGAAATGGACTAGAATATAACTCCTATCGACATCCCAACAGTAGCATACCTGACGTGGACCTATCAGAACAATCGTTATCGCCCCACCACCATCACTGTCAACACCCTCTGACATAGATAGGAGCAAACACGTAGCTCGCCAGTCAGTCATTACTAAGATTTCGAGATATAACGTCCATTCTCGAAATGAACGCACATACCAATGATGATGTCTGCTGCAGTAGCAGACAAAACTTTTGATTATTCAGGTTCCATTCAACCATGGCCTACCACTCTCCTTGAGCAATTAAAAAGAAAACGAGCATTGTTGTGGAAGAACAAGTCGTTGATGCTTTATCAGGAAAATGCTTCTATAAAGTCATTTTTGCCAAGCGTAGGATCCCTGTATTTTAACGTGAATTTGCTGAAAAATTGAAAAGAATAAATAATATGGCCATTGAATTATAAACGAAGGTAAACTAAATAAAAACAAAACCTTTTTAATAAAAAACATTTAATTATTAAAAATCAATTGAGTACAAAATATATACAAATTATTTTTTACCACTTACTCTAGAAGAGACTTAATGATGACAAAAAATAAAATAACAAAATTACAGGTATGGATAATAGTAAATTCTTGTTTGAATGTTATTGAAAATGTTTCTGTTGTCTGAAAAAGTGTTAACTATAAATCACAAGACTGAAATAGTGAAAATGGAAAACCATCAAAATGAAAAAGTTTGAGAAAAAACAAATGAACAATGGGTATAGAATTCAGATGCTATAAGGATGACAATTTGTGAAAAAACACATTGTTATGTCCTGAAAATGAATGATGTACTGTCGCCCGGGTTGAACTGCGTCTGCAATTTTGACGTTTGACGTTTCGGCTTCTGCGTTGAAGCAATTTTCAAGGACCACTTGAAACTAAAATTAAATGACTCGACGACGGGGCCGTAATATCCCTAACTCCCAAGTCTCGTTTTTGCTTTGTTCAGATCCAAGTGAACACTGATAACTTTGTTGTTTGAAGCCGGTATTTATGCTGCTGGACAGGTATAAAGTAGAGGTATCGTAACAGGTACCTGTCCCGCCGGGAATGGATTCTTGACTTTCTGCTTGACATGAGTTACTTTGAGATCTCTCTCTCTCTCTCTCTCTCTCTCTCTCTCTCTCACAGATTTCAAATTTGTTAACACCTCTTTAGATAATGGAAGTCCAAACTTGTAACATTCACAAAAAACAATCTGTTTCAATGGCAAACAATCATATCACAATCAAGAGCTTAGTTCTTCCTGAAACTTCTCAATATGGGATAAATGTTATTCAGAGCATCTTTTATGTCTGTCCTAGATTTGGCACCAGTAAAAACTACTTTGCCATTGACGAAGATTAGCATGACCAGTCTAGGTTTATACATCCTGTAGATGAGGCCCGGAAACAGTTCAGGTTCATAACTAAAAAATAAATAATAGTATATGCCCTCCAATTCAAATTGAAAACTTTCCAGAGTCAAAATGAATAGACAATAATATAGGTGAAAATATCGACTCCACAAGAAATAAAAATAGAATGGTTATCATGATTCTAAGATCAAAATTTTTCACGAGTTGTGTATATGAATTATGCATATGTTTATAAAAATCTTGTGATTATCACACAGTTCTGAAAAAAGACATTTGGGATGAGTAAAGAGCGTGAAAATTTTTTATTTCTACAAATTATTGACTGTTTTAGTTAGATTTTCATATATTTTTTAAAACTGTTCTTTTCATATCACTGTTATTTAGATAGATATGTTTATTTACTTCACAGAGTATTCCTAGTCCTACATGAATGGCAGAATACGTTGTCTGTAAAAGTACATCACAAAATACAAAATCCTAACTCTACATACATTTCAGGAATATGGACTGTATAAGTTAAAAATCAGCACAAGGACCTTCAAAAAATAAGTATATAAAAGTAGATGCTTAAAAATTTAAAAACTTAACACTAAAATAAAAAAAAAATTGACGTGAATGAAACTTTTGCATCTTTACACATCTTGTAATATAGACTTCATCTCATACTGAATATGAGTGATGTAATATTCAAGTCGATAGAAGTTGCAAGAGCAGAATTCTTACCTACTGAACTGCATGTGTGCCATATTCAGGTTTTCCAATTTTATAGGAAACCTCAGATCACAGGTGGCTACTATATTTTGTATTTTAAAATTGGCCAATCTGACCTGGAAACAAATTTATAAATGAAAAAACTGGATAGAGTAAAAATGTTTTCTGATAGGTAATCATAATTTTGGGAACTTGATATTTTGAGATACTTCACATAAATCCAGAAATCTGGATTTTGAAACCGAGTTTTTTTATTTTATATTAGTTTCTTTTTTTCGATTCATGCAATCCCATAATTTTTGAAATCGTTTTTGAGCAAACTATTTTGCATATAATAATTTCCAATTAAATCTCTCAACACGTGATCTTGGGATTTTATCAAATCATCACATACTCGTCATTTGCTTAGCAAAATTTTGAGAGATAAGCATTTGCACACATTTCCACTTGGTGCTTTTGAGATAAAATCCTTGAATCCACCCATCGTTCTTTTCCAAATATTGCATATTACTCACATTAAATCCAACTTTTTGTATGATTCTTGCAAACTTTTTGGATGCCAGTAAAGCGTCATGTTCATTTCTCGCTCCAGTGCAAACTATCTTTCCCGATCTGAATATGAGAGCTGTGGTACGGGGTTCTCGTAACCTCATTATTACTCCATGGAAACGGCCAGGGTTATACTCCGTATTTCTTGTTCTAGCATTGACAACCTGAAGATCCAGAGTAGTTTGAAGGTCTATGGTAGCAACGCAGTTCCTGGAAAAAGAACCAAAAAAAAAAGATTCATAATTTTTCTCAACGAGGGAAGTATTCAGACCATGTATCAGTTATATATGATTTATCTTTGAAATTTCCTGAATCAAATGATGAAAATAAGTAAACAAGAACTTACTGTAATGTAATATTTGTATGTGGCTCGCCTGCAGCTGATCCAGGAATGGCTAAACTTATGATACGAGGATCTTGTTTTATCGTTGGAACCTAAACGACAATTACATTGAAGGAATTTGTGTTAGTTGTGAACATAAAAAAGACACAATACTCAATACTCACGGTGAGGGCTAGACTACTTGTATTCCAGTCTGGTGTAGGGACAGCTGGAGTTGTTTTCGGAGGGTTATTGAGTATGTGCTTCAAATTTTCGTCTTCCTGGATTTTGTTTTCCATTTTGGTAATCCTCTTGTTATAAATACCAGTCCCTACTTGATTTTCACTTTAATAATAAAAATAAAATTCAAATGGTTACTTACATTACCAGCTGATACATTTTACTTGAACACAGTGTTGCCACTGTTGTTATTTAGGAATTCTCGATGTGCCCAAATTCAAGTGAAAATAGCGCCCTCTCAGCTTTCTCTTTCTACTATCTACTAATCAATTACTATTGGATAACTTTATTACGTTGTTATGGTGACGCACAATCTCTTACGATTCCATAATTCGAATATTCAGATAATTTTGCTAGTGTTTATCGTTGTCACAGTTCAGAAGTTGAACTAATGGGACTCTGAGCAGACTCTACTTGAGATATAGCAACTTCTGGGAGTACAGACGTTATGATCAATGATTCAGTTGTTTAATTGGCTTTTTTCAAGTTTTCACAAATAATCTATGAAATTAATTAAATATTGATTCAAATGTTCAGAGGAATTTCATTTCACTACTTACTTGTCCAGCAAATCTGAAGAGGAAATTTTAAATTTATGTAACGTAAAGCATAAAGCAAATACATATAAATGAATATATATTTATATTTATATTTATCGAGATAATTAACGAATGTTTTGAATATTTGAATTTGGAAGTTTTGGAGAGGCATACAAAATAACACATGGCGAATGACTATAATGGCATTTTCAAATAACAACTGAATTCTCATTTTCAGCACTGAGAAAAAACAAATAACCTTCCTAGAAACTACACAAATCTAATCAATGAAATGACCGAAGTCTTATAACATGTTAAATATAAAAGAGAATAGTGCCAATTTTTGCATATTTTTAGAGAGTCCGTGCCCAAGTGCCCACATTTCCAAATTATGTCCATTTTGGCACGATTGTGTTTCACATAATGACATTGAGTGTTACATTCTAACTTCAACTTTCAACTTCAAACTCGGACTTATGTTTGTTCGACATTTACAGTGGAAACTACAACTTTGAACTCGTTCGACATTAGGATTGGGGTTAAATTATTGGTTTCACCAGTTTCAGCCTTTTATAGGTCCCGATCAAGGAGAATATACGGATCAACGTCTTCGATAGAATATCAAATAGTAGGGCTATCAGGCGTTTTATGATTGGCAATACTTACATTTGGCATATAATATTGAAAGAACACGTGAAAATTTTCAAAATACAGCTGCGTTGATATTATTTATCCTAAGTCAATGAATACTTCAACTGAAAACAATAAACATATCGATAGTTGGCACTGGTACATATTGTGCTATAGTAACAACACAAAAAGTAGTGAATTAACATTTCACAGATATTCATTCTCATAGGATGAACAATATCGTCTTCATATAAATATGGATTCTATTCAACCAAAATACTAAATCATATTATTAAATGCGTTAAAGAAATAAGTTGTTCAATTAAAATCTTCTTAATATTACATGCCAGACATTAGTGTTGGCAGTCATGAAATGCCTAAAACTATATAAAACCTATGCATTCATTTTTACGTGAATATGAGGCGTTTTCTGGCGCTCATGTATTCAAAACGTATTCGTTTGTGATTCAAATACATTCATTCTGGCGTTAAAACGATGACGTCACATCAACTATCATTTGAAACGAATTCATTATGATTCAAAACTAGACGTGAGGTTGGTTTTGAAACGAAATTTGACATTACCTTACGTCAGTTGTCAGTTGATATTGTTGTTATTGTTTATTAGGCGACTTTTGAACCTGACCAGATTAAAATCTGAAAATGTTTTAGAATTTATTATGACTCGCCTCAGAATGTGATCAAATATTTCAAAAGAGAAATGGCAGAACTATTGCAACGAAGTCGTGTTATTAATTTATACAAAACTGTGAGTTTTCATTGCCAATTCACTGATGAAGTAATCTGAAAATATCACTATCTTCACATCAGTCATGATAGTAACAGTGTGTATATTAATATTGAGTTATAAATTAATTACCCCCCAAGTTTTTTTAGTCCATGGTGAAACATTTCAAAATATTTTAATTTGTTTGGAACTTTAGTTGTGACTAATATTCCAGTTACGGAATCGTAGTCACATTAACAACCTTAAGTTGATGATATAGCCACTATATCATTTGAAGGGTCTCTATTGTTTTTTGAGATTTTTTTTTCAAAATCGATGAAAAAATCTGATAGGATGGAAGTTTATAATCCAAAAAGCTGTATTTTTTAAATCTAATTCTAATTCAACATTCATTGTGTGACCGACCGACTTAATTGTATTTTTTATGTCATTGTCTTAGATTTGACTCAAAGCAGGAGAATTTTTTATTCAGAGATTCATAAACTTATGTTATTGCCCCAGTTTTGCTTCAAAGCAGGACAATTTTCTACTTAGCGATTCTTAGACTTCTTGGGGGCTCTTCTTAACCTCTTCTCGACATTTTAGCTCAAAATCAGTGCCATTAACAAACAATTATGTGTTTAGATTGTGACAATACACATAATATTTTTTCATACGTTATAGGTCAAGTCAAGTCAAGAATAGATGCGAGTAGTATGTATTCTGTGTTTCATAAAATCATTCTTCCCTAGTGATCATTACTCAGTTTATGTGAAAACACATAGTTTTTCAGCTCATACACCTTGGCAAAGACTGGCCAAAAGGTTATGAATTCTTCCGGAAACGTCTACATGCAGCCTTCATGAAAAACAGAGAAGAACGAGACCCTGAAAAAATTGAAAAAATGATTGCCCACGGCGAGTTCGTAGCTAAAGAGATTGAGGCCCTTTATATGTTGAAAAAATATAGAACTCTTAAGAGACGTTATTATGGTGATAAATAGTGATTATTATTGATTTGAAATATTTAATATCGATATAGTACTGTGTAAACAAATATAATATCTTCGCACTCCCCACTGTTTGTTTTTAGTCCAGAAACACATTGTCTGCGATCATTAAAAACAGTCGCATTTATATTGGAGCGTGTTATTTTATTTAACTATATTTTTTCGATGTTAACGACATCGTTTTCCATGGTCAGCCTGGTGTTCTAGGTAAGTGATGTTAATGACTCTCCGAGAAACCTGGAGAGAATCATACTTGTGATGCACTGTTTGGAACCTTTGGTGTAGTAATGAATATTATTTGAATTTAGTGCCAACACCAAACCGTTATTTTAACACCTTGACACGTGTTTCGATCACCAAGTGATCATCTTCAAGAGGAAGATCAAAAGAGAATCATGTCTACATGCAATCCCGCCAGCCTTTTAACGTAGCTGAATCAAAAATTCGTTCGAAACGTCGGATCGCGGGAGCACTACCACTTGCGAGAATTTACCGCTCTACTTTGTTATTATAAACATATTTTGTAATTCTTACAAATATATAGAATATTACGTGACAGTCAATTTTCAGGCTTAAAATTGTCTGAATTTCATTGTGAAATTAATATACACCAAATATATAATTATGTAGATTCAAATATTAATGATGGACTTGGGATCTGCATGATGAGGGGGTAGGTCGAATGATATTTCTGGGATCAAATTGATCGTTTCCATATATTCCCGATCTAGAGGCCCAGTGAAAGCTACCTGATTCTACAGGTGACACACAGAAGTAATAGTAAAGTGTATGAAAACAGGTAATCACTGATCTCATTGTTTTATCGTACATTCCCAATTCAGGTTACTATTTCTTGTAACTTGAATACTTTGGTATGGCAAAACTTTCAAACAGGTAGTATTCACCGTACTCAGGATATGTAACCTTGAAACTGCGCGTATGTCCTAAACTAGTGTGATGTCACGAGATATGTACGATTGACGGTAAGTGTCTCAATCAAGTTTGAACTGTTGTGAAGCGAAACATTTGAGGTTTGAGAGAAGATGTGTTTTGTTTTTACCAAGGCAGACATAAGGAATTAACCACAGGTGGATTTATTTGTGGTTACGGAATATTTTACTATTGAAAGCGTTTCTGAAAATCAATTATTCAAATTCATTTTGATTGCAGCAATGAGAAAGAAAAGTGAAGCGATGTATTTGGGTGTTTTGGTATGTTATTGTAATAAATGAAGTTTTGCCAATCATATTCGATAATGTAGGTATACAGTTGTATATTTTATTATCCTTTCGAAATAAGGTATTTACATTGAAATTATATCCTGACAACAAAAACGAGTTCATTCTATGAACTTCTTTCTTCGCATAGCTATTTGCAAAGCTTCGTTAACTTTTTCATATTTGGTTGCAGTTGAAAGTTATGAACATTTTAGTTGGTTAACTTCGGGTTAAATAAATACACCCATATACTATACAATACCATTTTGATACTTTTTTATTCTCCGTACTTCCTTCCACATTATAGATGAATCCAAACAATCAAAAAATAATTGGATTTTCACACCACTTACACATTAAAGTTTGAACCTGATGATGATTCCTAGCGAGCTCCGCATTTCTTATATCTGGTGACGTCACGACCCGTTTCACTGAACCGCTTTTTTGAGGCGTTCAGATGCATTTTCATTCTCCAATATTCCTAAAACCACCTACATGCCGCTTCAATTTTTGGAATGAAAAGTGGAAAAGAAGCTACTGTTGCTAGTTGCCAATCATATAATTATCTTACAGTCTACATGGAATTCTCTATTTTTTATTTGACGTGACCCCCAGTCGATTTCTATTTGTCTGTAAATCGTTTTCCGATCAGAGAATCGGAATATTTTCCTCGAAATTTTCCGAGCGATGATGTCAAGCAATGTGTAATAAGTGAAAATCAATCCTCATTGACGTCAAAAGCAATCAATCGAGTGTAATAAACAATCTGTCGCAACTTTAATATCTTTGTTCTTGCTGGATGAAAAAGATGTAATATTTTCAGAAGGATTATGGAAAATTGATACTCTTCGTACTTTCGTTAGACACTTTATGACTGAATTGTTTCCTAAAAGGTTTGATATATGTAAACGATGGTCATATAAACAACTTCGCCGATGGTACTACAATTACTATATCTGACCCAAATGCTGAAAATATTGCCACCAAACTAAAAAATGTTCCGAATCAGTCCATTATACGTGGTGTCAAAGAAATAAACTTGATAATTATACGAGTATATCTAAATCTTTCAATTGAACCATTGAAAGAAACATTCAAAAAACGGTAATAAAAACAAAAAAACACTTATCAAACGATTGAAATACCAAAATTCCAGGAACTAGAAAAATCATCAGCTTAAGGATCTCCTACCTACCAAATAGCAAAGTGGCTCTCTAGAGATTTGAAAGCTTGCCTAGTGCGAACCAGGTTTTAGTATCAAAAACTCCTTAGAGTTCATACAGAAACAACGTTCTGCAAGAAGGTGAGATTTTGGCCTCCTTTGATGTTAGTTCTTTATTTCCTATTTTCCCAATTTCACAGACTTCAGAATTCCTAAGGGAATTACTAGAGAAAAATATTTCAATAATAACGAAATTGATGAATTCGTTTTTCTCACCAATTTGTGTATAAAAAAAACCGTTTCCAGGTTTCTACCTGTTGCTTTTATGAACAACAGGAGGGAACGACTATTGGTAAACCCTTGTCCCCCTACCTGACAAACCTGTTCATGAACAAATTCGAAATGGAAACCAAAGAAAAATCAGAGTATTTTCCTAGGATATGGCTGAGGTATGTGTATGATATTTTTGCGATATTCGATATCAAAAAATCGAATATTGAGGACTGTGTTTTCTTTTTAAATAACAGATTTCCATCAATGAAATTCAGGTATGAGTTAGAACTTCCATTTTTGACAATACAAGAAATTGCAGTCAGTAACGGTTTCTCGAGGAGTATTGTAGATGATATCATAAGGAAGATGAAATTTAGGTTAAGAATGAACGAAATTTCGACTTTTAGAAAAGATGATAACCAAGACAAATATATCTCAGTTCCATACCACCAATATACGAAGACCTTTGGAAAGATTTTCAAGGAACTAGGTATGAAGGTTGTATTTAAAACAAGTCATACTACAGAGCCTTCTAGGAAATCCAAAGTCGAGGATTCGGAAAAGTCAGATATTTACGAAATTAAAGGTAAGCACTGCGAAGCAAAATATTATGGACAGACTGAAAGATCTATCAAAATAAGATATAAGGAACACTTAGCGCACCTAAAATATGGAAGATCAGAAGAATCAGCAGTCGCCCATCATATTTTGTAACAAAACCATCTCATAGAATTCAGTTCATTAAGATTAGTTAGACAAGTTAACAACAACAGGCATATAGATGCCTATGAGAGTGTAGAACATAATAATACCATGAATAACGCTAGTGGACCAATTCCTAATAGTAGATATACTATATAGCTTGTAGAAATAATATCTCATTATCAGATTTACTTGACTGTTAGACAAGGAAATATTGTAAAATTAAATTAAGACTTGTAGATAAACAATATGTCAAATTAACTTAGGATATTTAAGACGCAGGTACCTAGCAGAGGTATCTATGATATAAATAAAGACAATATTGTATGTAATTTAATTCAATCTTCCTCTTGAAGATGATCGCCGGGTGATTGAAACACGTGTCGAGGTGTTGAAAATAACGGTTTGGTGTTGGGATTAAACTCTGGTAATATTCATCTAAATCAGTATTTGTAACATTTTACACGCAGGTACCTAGCAGAGGTATCTATGATATAAATAAAGACAATATTGTATGTAATTTAAATCAATCTTCCTCTTGAAGATGATCGCCGGGTGATTGAAACACGTGTCGAGGTGTTTAAAATAACGGTTTGATGTTGGGATTAAACTCTGGTAATATTCATCTAAATCAGTATTTGTAACATTTTACATTTGAAAAAACATTAGAAATTTCATTGCGAGTGATATTCGTGTCTCCAATCAGGCGGATGGCTCTTTTCTGGAGGGAATCCAGCAGCTTCAGGGTATGCTTGGGGGCGAAGCTCCATACATGCGAACAATACTCCACAGAAGGTCTGATCTGAGCTTTATAAAGCATCAAAAGTTAACGAGATGTATACAGAACAGTATTCCAAGCTTTTGAGAAGCAGCCTTTACAATTCCAGCGACATGATTGTGCCAAAACATATCGGTGTCCATTTTAACACCCAACAAACTTATCGAAGCAGAAAGCGGAATTGTCTGTCTTGACATTATTATACCCGAATTTGAGACATTTATTTTTTTGGAGAAAACCGATGCCTGGGTTTTAGTGACATTGAATTGAACCTGGTTACTTTCACCTCTAGCTCCTCATTAAGATATGCGACCTCCTGCTGCCCGTGAAGATGTGCATCCGCAGTCGATGTCGGCAAAGAAATATATTGAATTTTTGTTTTTTTCCAAAGAGTCGTTGATATACAATAAAAATAGTGTTGGAGACAATATGGATCCCTGGGGAGCACCAGCGTTTATGGTAAAAGTATTTGAGATATATTCATCAATCGAGTTAAAACATAAAGGGTGTCCCGTTAAAAAACACACCTTCAGTAAATCAGCAATTCATTGAACACCCTATATTGTTGAAACATAGCTTTCATTACGCTCTACAACGTAACTGGGGAAGCACCCACGTATCGTTGATAATCTCTCTATGAAGGTATAGGAATGTAGGCTTTCACTGCTGGCGTCAATATTTTGCTTGTTTTCCGGCTTTTGCCGGAACTGATACGTCAACTGATACGTCAAGAAGAGTACTTCGACCACGCCACTGAAGATGACTACCACAGTGCCAGGTGAAACGTTTGCAGACTGTAACCAAAGAAGACCACGGCAAAACCCGGAAACCAACTAAAACAGACTCTGTATGAAGGGTTATTTTTCGTACATGTTTTGGTTCGAATGTATATTATTTCTGGGGAAAGGAAATTGTATTACGAGGATGTATAGATATT